GAAGTTCGGGACGCGTAGGCCTGATTGGAAATTTGGAAGGAATCGACCCAGCTTCGGGCCTCGTGTGCCTGGGCTGTGCTACGGTAAACCCCAGGCCCAATGCAAAATCTACATGGTTTTTTTTTTTAGAAATACAAAATCTACATAGGTTTTTTTTAGTAACTGCATCCTTTATTAAACCAGCCATTCATATGACCGGGCAGAAAAAAAAGCCACACATGGCGCCCGAATCTACTATATCTAAATAGCTCGCCCCCACTACTAGGAATTCTCTTGCTTCTCCTTGAGCCACATCATCTAAATTAGTTTAGCCGTTGGATATACTCGATCGGACTACATTAGCCATTGGATCTACCCATTAAAAGCCACCAACGCATGCATGCAGTGCATATAGTAAATGATGCCTAAAGAGTGTTTTAATCAATTAAAAATGATGCATGCATGCGGCACATACTCCAGTACTAGCACTATGAAAGAAAGTGACGCATGCATGCATATTTTGTTTTGTTTTCATCCAATTCTGCACTTATACATGGAGATGTAAATTTATTTATTTATTTTAAAAATATTGATTAAAAATATCCTTCTAGGAGAAATTGTAAAGCCATTAGCTTAGTGATTACTCCCTCCGTTCCAAAATAGATGACCCAACTTTATACTATAGTTAGTATAAAGATGGGTCATCTATTTTGAAACGGAGGGAATAGTTCATACCACTTTTTATTTCATACAAACTCCCGCAGGAACGCGGGAAGAAAAGAGGATGCCTTAGCTAGGGAATGAGCCTCCCCATTGAACTCTCTCTTCTCGTGAATGATTTGACATCTTGAAACGCACCACGGATTAGGATTAACTAGCACACATGCCCGTGCTTGCAACGGGATAATAAAATTACATGCCTCTAACTCAATATAAGAATGGATCAAGACCTCCACATGACCGTATTCTCTAGTTTAGCATGACACCCTTTAATTAGAACCAAACCAGTAGATTATGTTGTATTGGCACGTGCCCACAATTTCTTTCAATTACAATTAACCTGCATATTCTTTTTTTATTGGCATATGGAAGCTATCACCGTTAATAATTTATGGCGCCCCTTATTCTGAACAAGCCGACTTAGCTCGATGCGCCACATGCGGAGCAGGCCCAAGATGGGAGTGATCGAACTCATGACCTTAAAGACCCGACCACATGTTGCTAGCCACTCAAACAAATACGTCCTGCTAACCAATGGCCAGTGTGAACATTAAAGAATATAATGCAACTACCAAATATACTTGGCAACATGAACAATTTTCCAAATTACGAACATTTTTCTTTGAAAATTCCACACATTTTAAAAAACACGACCAAAATTTTGAACGGAACATTTGTTGAAATTCACAAACATTTCTTTAAAGCATGAAGATTTTATAATGTATGATATTTTTTAATTCGTTTACAATTTTGGAAAATGGGAAAATATTTTGAACCTATAGAAGAAATTTAGAAAATGTGTCTTCCGATGCTATAAACATTTTCAACTTTATCAACATATCACTAAAATAAGAATATTTTTCAAATTTGTAACATTTTTTAATCTTCAACAAATTCGGTAAAAACATAAATATTTTTTCAAAAAATTGAATAATTTTAAAAATTCTGAAGGACAAAAAATTTAAAATTCTAAACATTTTTTATAATGAAAACAATTTTGGAATTCATAACATGAACTACCGAATATAATTGGCAACGTGAAATTTTTTCCAAATTACAAACAATTTTTTTTGAAAATTCCATAGCTTTTAAGACAAAGTTAGAACAAAAAATTTGAACGGAACATTTCCTGAAATTCACATAAATTTCTTAAAACACGGACCTTTACAAAAAAATACGATTATTTTTCAAGTTGTAAACATTTTTTAAAAATGGGAATATGTTTTGAAAATTCAGAAGAATTTTGGAAAATGTGTTTCTTGAATGCAAATATTATTTTCAATTTTTGCACATATCGCTAAAACAAAATATTTTTCGAAATTGGAACATTTGACAAAAAAAATAAATCTTGCTTTTTCGAAAATAAGAACATATTTTTAGAAAAAATGGAGTATTTTCCAAATTTTGATCAATTATTGGCATGACAAAAGAAATCCAAACATTTTTTAGAATAGGAACACATTTTTTTAATTTGTAACATTTTACAAAATTTTGAATAAAAATTGAAATTGCAATCTTTTGAAAATTTCGAAATTTGTAAAAAAAAATGTGAAAAGTACACATAGAATAGAAAAAAAAGAGAAACAAGAACTACAAAGAGAAAGAAATAGAAAAAGAAAAATTGGAACAGAACACAAACAGAAATGGGCTGCTGAGTC